TTACAAATAATCACCTTCAAGATACACACACACTTCGGGTACTGAGCTGTGTGTTACCTGCAGTGAGAAGGCGGAGCCTGAGTCCCAGAGGGCCCGCCCGATCCCTCAGGACATCCACACACTCTGCATAAATGTTACCGAGGAAACAAGCCAACGGCATTGCAGGAGCTCTGAGAACAGAGAAATAAGTTTAGCTATTTTTTCTGTAACGTTTTGTTCTTGCTGTCTCTGTGATTGTTTTCCAACACTTAAAACAGTGTTGGAAACAAACTCATATCAACATGTGAAGGACTAAAAGTAACCGTTTCCTCTGGCAGCACTGCCATTATTACGTACCTTGTTTCCTGCAGGTTGTTGCCAGTGTAGATGTGCATCCTCTTGACCATTGCCCCATGTGGAATCTGCAGGGAGGCCAAACCCATGGCAAAGTTAGGCTGCCAAGGCAAAACAGCTGGAAGTAGTACAGGACTGGTAGATACTAAAGGTCTCTGCGTCCACATGAATAAACACATTCAGAAGACTAGAAAACAGCTGTGACAGTACAGAGGAGTGACAACATGTGATAAAGGGAGTGAAATGTCTCATGAAGCACTGACTAAACACTGCTTTCTAAAAAAAGAAAGCACCAGTGTTTTCACTGTTCTTTGTACTTTCATTCGTCTTGGATCTTCGGCGTAATCTGAAAGGTCAAACATCAAATCGAGACTCACTGTGACTCAGCACTTCTGACTTATTCTTATGCAGCTATCACTGCACGAGTCCTTCCCGTGGGATGACATTTGATTTTAATTAAAAACAGCCACATCTCGTACCCACTACCCATTTAAAAAGCCATTAATCTGCAGTAAGAAGAATAAAGTCTTATACACTAAGACTACCACGGGTTAATTTAGAAAATACATGAATTTTGTCATTGTGTGCCACAAACTTCATGACAAAATCCACTGAAAGACACAAACACTGTCAGAATCCAAGACACACACTGATTTGGTTTCATGTAAATTTGTGACAAGGCAAAAAATACAGCTTGACCTTTGAGTGTTTACATGACTGGAAACCACTCAAATCCCAAGGCGGGCCTGGCTCTCCTGGGACTGGAAAGAGCGAGCACTCAGCTCTTCTTTAATTGGCTCACAGGCAAATGGGCTAAAACGCTCTCACCTCATATTTTGGAGCTTCATTCCATGAGTCCAGTTGAAAAGAGAAGGACAGTCCCCGAAAGTTGAGATGGAACAACTGCTCTGCAGCATTGTAAACTAGGGAGAGACACGTGAAGAGGAGAGCATTTCATACAGGGTAACAACCAAAACCCCAAATTACTTGTAAGTGAAAACATTCCAAGTGTGCTGGTCCTTTGGAACGTACCTCCAGGGTGTGTAGCGCCAAATGACTGGTCTATTTGCTCTATCGTGGGGGCAATGGTCTGAGAGTTGAAATGGACTCCACTGAAACACAATCCATACATACACGGTGTCAGGATTAAACCTATTAACAAAGCGCCTGTGCTGCATTATTTCAAGAGTTAATGGCAAAGATGGGAAATGGATTATGCTCGTCAACAGATAACGTTGAATAAGAAACACATTAATGCAGGCAGACTCAAGCTGTAAGCCTACCTGTGACTTAAAGTTGAAAGTGGTGTTCGTGTTAATATAAAGAGAACCAGGCGTGCCGTATATGCAGAACAATCCAGGATTTATGCCATTAAATGTCGCTGAGAAGTAGGGCTGCCACAAACGATTATTTTAATAGTCGACTAATCAGATCATCATCCATTGGACATAAAACGTACAGCTTATTGCACCAGCAGCATCTGCTCTTATATAACTATCATTAGCTTACAGCTTTAAGTGTTT